TCTATCCATCTATCTATCTATCTATCTATCTATCTATCTATCTATCTATCCATCCATCTATCTATCTATCTATCTATCTATCTATCTATCCATCCATCCATCCATCTATCATCTATCCATCTATCCATCCATCATCCATCTATCATCTATCTATCTATCTATCCATCTATCCATCTATCCATCCATCTATCTATCTATCCATCTATCTATCTATCTATCTATCCGTCTATCTATCCGTCTATCTATCCGTCTATCTATCCGTCTATCTATCTATCTATCTATCTATCCATCTATCTATCTATCTATCTATCTATCTATCTATCTATCTATCTATCTATCCATCTATCTATCTATCTATCTATCCATCCATCCATCCATCTATCCATCTATCCATCTATCCATCCATCTAGCCATCTATCCATCTATCTATCTATCTATCTATCCATCCATCTATCCATCTATCCATCTATCCATCCATCTATCCATCTATCCATCTATCTATCTATCTATCTATCCATCCATCCATCCATCTATCCATCTATCCATCTATCCATCCATCTATCCATCTATCCATCTATCTATCTATCTATCTATCCATCCATCTATCTATCTATCCATCCATCCATCCATCTATCCATCCATCCATCCATCCATCCATCTATCCATCTATCCATCTATCCATCCATCTATCCATCTATCCATCTATCTATCTATCTATCTATCCATCCATCTATCTGGCTGCTACTTCATTACATGTTTTACTTTCCAGAGAACATACGGACCTCTGCATCCCTCTCAGTTTTTAAGAAAAGAGCCTCAAGACCCACCTGTTCCGCACCGTGTTTTACTGACTCTTCTTTATTTTTATTTTATCCTAACCTTTTAGGCTCTTTTTTATATTAGCATATTGTATTCAATATGCTCCTTTGATAACTTATTAATTTCTCCTCATCATAGCATTTGTGAAGCACCTTGAGATGACGTTGTTTTTAAAGTGTGCTACTTAAAGGTGACCCCAAAATGCACATTTGTACGTCTTTTATACATGAATATGTGTCCCCGGTGTTCCAGGGAACTCACCAAGTGTCAGAAAACACAACCCTCTCTCTTTTCCTCAATACCCAAATCTTTTAAAAACGGGGCTGCAACGAGCGGATACAGATTCCACCCGACCCGACGTCAGCCCGGAATAGTGGGCGGTGACGCTGCACCTATCAGGGGAATGAGAGGTTGCCGTGGCATGGTAACAGCATGGTAACAGCATGGTAACAGCATGGTAACAGCATGGTAACAGCATGGTAACATGATGCTCGTGCCTCGCCCCCCTCCTTTGCAGGGCGGCGTGGTCAGCTGCAGCTCATTTGCCACAGAATCAGCCCCTGCAAAAACAGGGCTGGAAAAGAGCAAATACAGCGAAATGAGGCATGGCTAAAATGCATGATCTGTTTGGTATTTTGAAAAAAAAAATTCACAAACATGTTTTATATAGGTATGGCCCTACAATATATTATTCAAATATAGCATGATAGGTCCACTTTAAAGGAAATGTATTATTATTATTATTATTATTAATGTTATTACTTACTTTTAAGATAAGATAAGAAGTACTTTATTGATCCCAATTTGGGACATGTTTGCGTTGCAGCAGCATAAAAAGATTTTACATTAGAGAAATCAAAAGAAATAAACAATCCAAAATGTAAACGTCTCAAATAGAAATAATAGCTTTAAAAATACAAATGTGTGTTATGTGAAGTTATTAGATTTTTATTTTATTAATGAGCTTATTCTGCTTAATTTGTCTTTATCTACACTTTTCCTATGATGGCCGACAGGTGCAAACGACCCAAAACATCAAGACAGCTTCAGAAATATTAAATAAGTCACAATTGGCAGAGTTAGGCCCCGTCCACACGGAGACGAAACCGATTTTGAACCGAAGTCGATCTTAAAAAAGTCTTCCGTCCACACGGAATCGGCTCAAGAAACGTGTCCATCCACACGAGACCGCTTGACCCGCTGGAGACGCTGTAGTACATATGCCGGGCCTGTAAGTGGCGCTGTACTTCCGTCACAAAATACACCAAAAGCAGCGAATAAGACGGTTGCCTGGTTGCCTGGTTGCCCTTCTGTTTATTCCCCGTGGTGGATTTAGCAACATGTAGTTCATGTAGTTCTCCATGTCCACTTGTTGCTGATGGTTGTGGTAGAGGAGCTGTAGATTTTGCACTAACATCTGTATCATGGTCAGTAGCGCCTGGAGCACGAACGCAACCCTGTGATCCGCCGTTGTTGTTGTTGTTGTTGGCGAAAGGCATCCGCAATGACGCGGGGGTGAGCAGGAGAGGTGGGGAGAGGCGGGGCTATGATCGTATAGGGCGTACACACGGAGCCGCAAGCGTTTCGTCTCCAGACTTACCCACTTTGGGAGCCTGTTTCAAAGTTTATCGGTTTCGGGCTCCGAAGCCGTGGCTCCGTTTCGGCTTCGTGTGGACGAACCGTCTATACCAGGCATCCTCAAAGTCCGGACTCCGGTCCGGATCCGGACCGAACCACAACTGTCTCTGGACTCTGAGCAAATTATACTTTTCATATGTATTATCTGTATTATCTGTGTTATCTGCGAGACATCGCCACAACGCAACGAGTCAAAATTCTCCGCTATGTCCACTGCAAACAGCGCTCTGCATGTCAGACTGTTCCACTGTCTGTGTGTGTCTGTCAACACATTGGTCCAATCACATTCAGCATCCCGTCAGCGTTTTTTCAACAGCAGTCTGCGACAGTCTGCGAATCAGAGGCACAGTAGGGCGGGTCTTCGCGGAATGCGGGTGGGAAAAATGCGTGTGTGTTTAAAAAAAAAAAAAAGTCAGAGCGAGAGTTAACAGCTCATCTAGTTGCATCTGTACTGTAGCTAGTAGCCTAGTTTCACCTACCGGGGTGGCAACTGCCACCCTGAAAATAGGCCTTGCCACCCCAGCTGCCACCCCAGTTGGCAGCTTTACTTTGAAAGAAAAGTTGTGGCTCATCAGACATTTATGGGAGAAAGTCTCTAATGTCCGAGTGCAAGTGAATGCAGCACAAGACGCACGTCTTGTAACCCCTCCCCCGGCCCTGGCGCGAGCGTGGAAATATGATTGGCGGCGATTTCATTTGAACGGGACGGCGCAAAACGAGAAGCATTCGGACCCAAGTACTGAAGGAATGAGGTATTTGCGGTCTACAATGACAGAGAAGAGACTGTCAAGTTTGGCTGTACTCAGCATTGAATCAAAACGCACTAAAGCTTTGATCTTAATAAGTTTGTGAGGCGTTTTGCTGAACAAAATGGTAATCGCCGCATTCAGCTGTAATAGACATGTCAACTTGATGCGCTGCTCACGGATGAGCATACAAAACTGTTAAGATGATGACCTTACGTGTGTAAATATATCTTTTTCTTTGTGGGGGTCTGCCCCCAAAAAACTGTTTTAAGTCCTGAGAAAGTCAAATAAGACGGTGTGTAAAACTACACTGCCCAGCCAAAACAAAGTAACCACTTTGATTTAACCAGGCCAGTAGGTAAGGACATTCCACTGGATAATAACTGAAGTATAAAAGAATGCATGACTGAAGTGATGGAGACCATGTTTGAAGGCAAACAAAAGGAGGAAATAACAGGTCAAATCAAGCAAATCCCCCTCTCAGATTCCACAGCAACCAGAAGAACATAAATACTGGCTGGTGATTTGATTAATCAGCTTTGTGATGGAATAAAAAATGCACAGTGCATTTCCTTAGCTGTGGATGAGTCCACTGACACCACTGACAATGCTCAGTTGCTGGTGTTTGTGAGTTTTCATGATGAGGCAAAGGGGGACTTTGTTGAAGATGTGTTGGGCCTGACGAACCTCAGTGGACACACAAGGGGGCAAGACATTTATAAAGCAATAATGGGAATGCTGAATGAAAGAGGGTGCAGCTGCCTTTATTCATAACTGTGCAGCTCTTACACTGCGACTCTGAGGGAGCAAGCACAGACACAATAACAATGAAAACTGCTGCATACAGATTATTTTCGTTTTTGCAACCTCGTGTTAAGAATCTTGTTGCAATTGTTTAAAAGTTTGAATGACCGTAATAAACGGACCTTTGTCTTATTGAAACATTTGTTTTGGACCTTTAAGATTTGTATTTGAGTACCCCTGGTCTATACGATGAAGAACTTTAGCGGATACAACTAACTCCGTGTGGACGGGGCCTTAGTCTGTTTCATAATTGTGTTTTTGTCGGTATATTTGAAAGGACTAGTTGGATCGTTAGTTATACAGCAGATAATATTGGAAGCAATCATTCAATCACATTGTTAGAATAAGTTACGTAACGGAGAGAGGAGGTGCACGTTGTCTTTAAGGGGATTGATGATTTGGCTGCTTGATTTAGAAAAACGTACTTTTATAATGCTGTTATTTATCTTCTCTACCCCAAGGTAGAGAAGATAAATAACAGCATTATAAAAGTACGTTTTTAGATTTGTATTTTATTATTGTGCTTGCCTCTTCATTTTACCCTTTCAATTTGTCTTTATATATATATTTAGTTTTTGTTATTGTTCATTTGTAAATTCAACATGTATATTTTCTACTTTCTTGTTTATTTTTAGTCTTTTGAATTTGTATTGTACAATGCCATGGGATCAATAAAGTACTTCTTATCTATTCTTATCTGCAAACGCATCAAGTGATAACGTAAAAAAAATTGAAACTTTCTACATACATATATCAAAGTACAATGTGAACATATTTACTTAATTTATACATTTTTTATTTTATTTTCTATATATTTTTATTGAACATTCTTACTTTACATTTTTATGTTAGTTTTGTTTTAATCTTTATTTTTACTTAATTCAAACTGTCTTGAAACCCAATCACCCCCAATCACCCCCAGGATAAATAAGGAATTATAATACTGATATCATCAATGACAAATATATTAAAATGTGTGTGTTTTTGTTCCAGTTCCAGTTTGAGTGGGGTCTTTTGATCGCTGTGACGCTGTCGTCTTTGGTGTGTCTGAGCCGCCTCTACACGGGCATGCACTCAGTTCTGGTGAGCTATCACACACACACACACACACACACACACACACACACACACACACACACACACACACACACACACACACACACACACACACACACACACACCACACACACACACACACACACACACACACACACACACACACACACACACACACACACACGCACACACACACACACACACACACACACACACACACAGTATAAAACATTCAGGGCAGGATTCATAATTCAGTAAAGTGTCTGCCTGAAGCCTTTTTGCCCGTTCTCTTTATTCAGTATAGGCCGTCCCTTTTAAAATCTGTTATCACATGTATCAGGCTGAACTCATCACGACCTTTCTGCTTCATGTGGAACATTTTCTTCCTGAATCTACAGAAAATGAAGGCTTGAGGTTATGAGGAAAAATGGCTGTAAGCTTTCTTTCTGAGAGTTAGAGAGATGCTATCGGCATGTTGCAAAGCATCAACATATGAAGTAAAGTACTCTTATCTTATTTATGTACACTTTAAAAAAACCTCTCCTATCTTATCAAATCCTCAAGATTTTAGGAAGGTAAGATCAGAGGCCTGTACGACGAAGCCGGTTCAACATAACCTGGATATGTTTGAGTTAGCCGCTTGGCCCAATCCAAAACATACGCGCTCTCGCTAAGCTGTACTACGACGCTGGTTATCAAGTGGATCGCTCAAGCCAGCCGTGTCCTATCTAGTTAGGTGCGCGTTCACATGAAAGGGGTGGTATTTGGAGCATTCGACCAATCACAAACATGGACAAGAGTACTGACAGCGCAGTCAGGCTGCTATATCGCGTGTACATTGTGTAATTTCTAGTTTTTTATCTTTAATATTGTTTTTATGCATGCTTCTTGAATTGTATTGGAAGCTACTTTTGGCTCTCGTTGCTGTAACAATCGTAAATGTCCCCTCTGTGGACGAATAAAAGTATTCTGAATCCCCACAACTGCCAGTATAAGGAATATGTTTTGTCATAATTGTGATTTTTATGTTTGAGTACCATGAAAAGCTCTCTATAATAAATACAACTAATTGTTATTATTCTTCTGTTTTCAGGACGTGCTCTGTGGCGTCTTAATCTCCGCCCTCATCTTGTCCTCCACCTACCCGTACTGGGAGTCCATCGATCGGTTCCAGCTCTCCAGCAGCTTCTCCCCCCTGCTGGGCGTGTTTCTCCCCCTCCTCCTCAGCTACTCTTACCCCCAGTTGGACCACTACAGCACCACCAGGGCGGACACCACCACCATACTGGGGGCGTCAGGAGGCTGCTGGGTGGGCTACTGGCTGGACCATCAGCTGGGGGGACCGCTTCACCCTCTGGGGGAGAAGATGCCTGCACGTCTCCCCCCTCTGACGTTAAACTCTGTGTTTCGTGGAGGCGCTCGCTCTCTACTGGGAATCGTAGCTTTACTGGGAACTCGCCAGCTGGTGAAGACCCTCAGTCTGAAGGTGCTGTTCTCCTGCTACAGCGTGGAGAAAAGTGACCCCAATGCGAGGAGGAGGAGAGAGATCGAAGTGCCGTATAAGTTTGTCACGTACATGGCTGTGGGGCTCGTTAACTCGATATTAGTCAACAGAGGGTTCGTTCTACTGGGGCTACTATGACGTGTCACACTGAACAAACTGAACCGTTGACTTTCTTTTTAAAGCACTTAATGGTCTGATTTGCATAAATGGACTGCGTTTATATAGCGATTTGTCCAGAGCTTTTAGATACTGTATACAAGTCAGAATCCACCCGTTCACACAGAGGCAGAAGCTTCCACACAAGGGGCAACCTGCTCAAGGGAAGCTAACGCTCACAACGTCATGCCATCGGGAGAAATTTGGGGTTAAATAGTTAGCGTAAGGATACTTCCACATGTTGATCCCACAAAACAACACTACCTCTCAGCTAATGTAGCCAAATGTGGACTACTACAGTGGACCAGTGATAAGGGCCCGTCTCTTAAAGGCCGGCACAAAATATATATGTGAGTCTGTTTCCTTGAAATATTTAACACAGCCAAATCTGACCATATCTATAAAAGCTGAGAACCTTACTTGAAAGGTGCTAAATAAATAAATAAATGTGCCTTGCCTTGAACTTTTCTTAGCCCTGATGTATCAGCTGTTATTGTAAGACGAACCTCCTCAAGTGGGTCTCTTGTAACCTCTTAAGCATGTCTTAAAAATCGTAGCTGTTTTTGTTTGTTTTCTTTTCTATGTATGTATTTGTTGTGCCATCACTGAGTTTGTAAAAAGAAAGAAAAGTCAATAAATGTATTGATAAAAAAAGAAAAAGCCGAAATCATTTATACTGCACGTGTAGTAACAACCCCTTTAGGACCCTCGGGTCTTCTGGTACTGGCCTTTTAATTATACATTATTTTAATTATATCTAAAGATAAAACTAAGACAAACATATTTTTGTATTAATTGATTATTAAATATTATAGGGTGTGGCTTCTAATGATGAATTATCCATTCAACCCGAGCCATGTTACGTTTTACTGAAGCAAACGTGTTCAAATGAAGTAAAACATTTACTACACTTACACAACTTTAACTTCTCAATGTCTATATATAACATTCGTATTTTATTTTAAAATCTGATTCTGATGCAGGTTCCTGGTGTTTCTTCTCCTGGGAGAACCCCGCCTTGAGTCAGACGTGCCCTCACCAGTCGGGGAAATCCTGTCAAAACCAGTTTAACTGAAACTAGGAAACTTTATTTCAGCGCCGCCCGTCTCTGCCCCTGAAGTCAAGTCAAGTCAAGTCACAAGGTTAGAAGAGCGGATATTGAGGAGCAGAGCGGGGGATAAAAGAGTGAACCTGACTCTACAGTTTGCAGGAAGGAGCACCTGTCAGACTGAATCTGCAGACGACTCGTTATCTGGCTCTTCTTCAAATGGGCTATACTCCAGACTCTCTATGGAATAAAAGTGAATGTACGCAGCGTTAAGAAATGTCTGCTTTGAATTGAAGCCGATGCAGAAGCTTTTACACTGGTATAGAGAGCTTGATGTGTAGGATTCTTGCTTTTTAAGTTTGTTTCCTTAAAGGTCCCAGGTCATGGCCATTTCTACTGATCATAATTCCATTGAGGTCTACTAAAATAGATTTATATTGTTTAATTTTCCAAACTCACATTGGTTTCTCATACAGCATCTCTGTATAGTATGTGTATTCACTCTCTGTCCTAAACGGCTTGTTGGAGCTCCTGCCCCCCCCTCCCTGTGAGCCCAGTGACCTTCTGCGAGACAGCGAGACACAGCGAAACCCAGCCCGAAACACACACACACACCCGCAGCCAGGCTGGGAGTTTGTGTGTGTCCAGGCTGTTCCGCGGTGTCTCGCCGACCCCACACCAGTGAGCCAGCTCACACTGTCCCGCTCCTCGCAGCAGCGAGCCTCGCAACAGAGCCTCGCAACGTCTCGCCGAGTGTGTGTGTGAGGAAGTCCGCGGATTGGTCAATTTGGACCAATCTGCGGAGCCGTTACGTCACTATACCCAAGAAGTAAACAATGGAAAAAGAGAAATGTCCAACGAGGCGTTCTGGGGCAGCATAGACAGGTCTTTTCTGTGTTAGAGTTTTACTCGCTACAGGGTGTACTTTGAGGGTTTGTGACTCTGCAGACCGTTTACATGCAGAGAAACCTTCATAACACACAAGGGGACGGGGAATAACCAGAAAAGCATGACATGGGCCCTTTAAGGTTGATTCCACTTATTGCAACTTGCCTTGAATGAAAGAGTCAATAAATCCAATCTAATGTTGCATGCACAGTAATGTCAGACACTAAGGGGGGGGGGGGGGGGGGGGGGGGGGCAAAGGGCAAAAAAAAGCACCAAGAAATCTCAGAATGGAATTCCCAAGATGTTAAGAAAGTTGCCCTTAATTGTTTAAAATGTCCTACCATGGGAATGTATGCTCTGATAAAAAAGATGCACTAGAAAAAAAGGATCAAAGCTGGAAAGTGAAAAGTCAGAATGGCTTTATTGGATGTTAAAAGGAAAAAAATGCTTAGTACTTTGTATTAAAGGATCAACAGTCTTTTCAGAAGGACTTGAGCTTCAGTTAATGGACTTGAACATTGTGTTTCATTATCACCTATATCTAGACATCAGATGGAACCACTGAGTTAAAGCTTTATTGGCTTTATTTAAATGGACTACTTGAACGTTGCGTTTCTTTTCACATCAGATCCCACTCAGTGAATGATTCTGCGTCTCCATGATGAATCAGATCTTGTTGAAGGCGGCCACATCCACACTCTGAACGTACTCCTCGAAGGCGGTGATGGCCTCCTCCAGCAGATCCGTGCCCACTTTCTCGTCCTCCACCACGCATCCTATCTGCAGCTTCTTGATGCCGTATCCCACGGGCACCATCTTGGATTGCCCCCACAGAAGCCCCTCCATTTTGACGCTGCGCACACACTCCTCCATCTTCGCCATATCCGTCTCGTCGTCCCACGGCTTCACGTCCAACAAGATGGACGACTTGGCGATAAGAGCTGGTTTCTTGGATTTCTTTGCGGCGTATTCTGCGAGACGCTGCTCTTTAAGTTTCTCCACTTCGGCGCTATCTTCTTCGTCGTCCGAGCCAAAAAGATCAATGTCATCATCATCATCATCTTCTTCTAGGACAAATTGACTCTTAGCAGACGGGAGGTTGGCTCGTTCCCTCAGGAAGGATTTCACGTGGTTGTACCAACGTAAAAGGTGGGAAAAAGTCGAAGAAGGGGCGGATGGGATGGCGTGGAACATCGTCGTGTCAGCTTGAGTCGCCTCAAACCCTCCATGTAGCTTTTATCCGCCAGAAAATCATCGAGAGCCTTCAGACCGGCGGCGGAACTCACGTCGCCGAACACAGTTTTGGTAGAAGTTGGACGGGAGTTGGGAACTTGCGACGGGAAGTGGTGTTTGATGACTTCGTGCAGCGGGACGTCGTGTGTGAGCGTGGTTTCTGCAGGATGGCCACTGGAAGAACCAAGGCGACAGGTAGCAATGAGTCACTGAGATTAACAAGCATGCACTCACTAACCCCAAGACACCGAAATCAAGAGCAGGCATGCATGAACAAGCCCCCACACACACACACACACACACAGCATTCCCATCGAAAACACAAAAGACTCCTTGTTAATTTTTAATTCTTCTGATGTAAAAACACGGTGCAGCACAAAATCCAAACATGCGTTATCTTTTTAACAAATTTGAAGCCTGATTTTCCTTATTGCTTTCTGCTTTTGTCAGAGAATAGGGGGGGTATGTTGTATTATTTCAGGTAGGGGGTTTGAGATTAGGAAGGGCTCGATGTCCATTTTCTATTCTTCTGATGTAAAAAACAACAATGCAGCACATGCAGCAAACGTCCACCACAACATCCAAACATGCGTTGTCTTTTTAACAAATTTCAAGCCTGATTTCCCTTATTGCTTTCTGTTCTTGTCAGAGAATAGAGGGGTATGTTGTATTATTTTGGGTAGGGGGTTTGAGATTAAGAAGGGGAAATCACAGGAAGGGCTCGATGTCCATCTCCACGGCGGAGCAGGGCATCGTGAGCTCGAAGCGGGTGATGACGTCCGGGTGAAGAACACCGAGACGTCCGACACTCTTTCCACCGACGAAGATCTCTGCGCAGCGGCCGGGGAAAAAGGTGGAATCTGAGAGAGAAACATAAGAACATTATTACTTTTATGATCAAAAATCAGTTTATTGCGTTTCGACTAGGGCTGTGCAATTATGGCAAAAATCATAATCACGATTATTTGGGTCAATAATTGATATCACGATTATTAAATACGATTATTCATTGACTTTGAAAACATCCATTTATTGAACTTTAAAACAAATACCAATAATAATTTGAACAGTATCTTTTTAACTGTTGATTACCCTGAACGTATAATTCAACTGAAAAACCAATACTAAAATAAATGATACATTTAAATAAATATCAAAATAATAAATACCAATAAACAAGATCAACAAATATTTTGGAGCGCACTTCCCCAAGCTACTAAACATATGTAAATATGATAAATACAAATAAATGAGACCAAAATTAATTAGATCAAATATGTTGCAGTGCACTGTCACAACCTAGCAAAGCAAAATAATCGTTTTTTTCGATTATGTTGTTTTCGTAATTGTGGCAGGCCAAAATCGTAATTGCGATTAAAATACGATTAATTGCACAGCCCTAGTTTCGACAATGCATAAGTTATAAGAAAATGTATAAAGAAAGCGTAATTAGACCAGTATGAAGTTGACTTTTGATTGTGTTCTGGTTTTATGTTTCAGTGTTTGTATTTTGCAACTGTGACTGAAAGAATATTGCTTTTAAAAAAACACAAACAAACAATAACAACGACTAAAGTAATCCCTTACATTCATTCACTTTGAGTAAAAAGTGGATTTGAGAGATGTATTACTTCACCTTTTACATCGGGCTGACTTTTTATTTTAGTAAATCCACGCCTGCCAAGACTTTCATATCAATTTTAAAAAAACAAATACAATAACCACCTCTATACGCTTGTTTGTAATCCTGACAAACTGTTTCTGACCCGTTTGTTACTAACACACCATCTGTTCAGCCTGGGTGCTTCTTCGATCATGTTTCTGACACTTTGTAGTTGCAGAAAGCACAAACTAAAATGTATTTGTACTAACAAAAGCATTCATTTAAAGATATTGGGATTTTGCCAATATTTTAAAAAGGTTATTTTTGCATATCTTCAATGCCGATACGTGTACATACTTTGTTGGGCACCTGATTGAAAAGGAAATCAAGTTTTTTGTTGTGTAATTAACATTTTATTATTACCGTTAATATGCAGAGAGAGTACAATGCATGTTAACACGCCATGTTTATTTTCATGTAAGGAATTGGCATGTAATATCAGAGGATACGTTTCATTTGAAGCCTTGATCTGAAGATACCGAGGACATGCCGAAATCATTGTCTTTCTTATTTTAGAAAAAATGAATATTGATGAAATCCAAAGTGTGGGCGCGACTGTGCTGCCTTTCTTGTTCTCTTCATAATACATGGTGTGCCAACATTGGTTATAAATGATCGGTGGATATGAATTTATTCCAAAAAGGAAACAAAACCGTGATTGTTTTTCGTAGATTTTCAGTAAATGAACACTTGTGATAAAAATATATCCGTACATAAAAACAACTCTAGTTCAGGTGACTTCTACTCTTCTCCACACACACACACACACACACACACACACACACACACACACA